CAGAGCCAATTCATCGTATGCCCGTGTTCTCTGCCGATATATATATATATATATATATATATATATATATATATATATCCATATCCAACATAGACCAGCAATGTACTGGTACATCACTGGACCTTGAGTGGTTATACCGGGATGATGCCTGCAGCTAAAGGCATCATCCTGGTATAGTTTTTCAGCTGGCAGTCAGCTTTCATGTAAAAGCAATCCTAGTGGCCAATTAGCTGCTGAATTGTTTTTACGAGCAGCGGGAAGGGACATCCCCCCCCCCCCCCCCCCCCGTAGCCTTCCAGTTTTTTCCAGAAGGGCTCCAATCATCTCTATAGCCTAAGAAATCGGAAGCTGTAAGAATTTCAAAACATCAGTTTCGCAGGATACAAAGAGCGCCATTTGTAAATTGGGAAAGCATCTGATCACACTGATCTTGGCAAGATCAGATAATGTAAGGGGAGAGATCTCTAGAGTCTAATAGACACAAGATTTCTCAAAAAAGAATACGTCAAAGCCTATTGCAGTCAGAGGGGATATTTAACATTCCCTGTGATAGCAAAAGGGATTATAAAAAAAAAAAAACCCTTGCCCTCCTGCGCACACACAAGCGTTGACCCCGTGTCGGTTGTACCGTGCACGTGAGGCATCGTCGCAAACATCAGATCAATGGCAGTAATTCTAGCACTAGCCCTCCTGTGTAAATATAAATTGATGACCTGTAAAAGGCTTTTACAGTGTCGCCTATCGAAAATAAAAATGAAATCTACTTTGTTGCCTTTGCACGGGCATGTGCAATTTTAAAGCATGTCATGTTTGGTATCTATTTACTCGGCGTAACAATCTTTTATGTTTAATCAAACAATTGGGCAATATATTGTGTTTTTGCGCATTAAAATTAAAAAAAAAAAAAATTACTGCACAAATATTGTGTAACGTCACAAATTTCATAACCCGTTTTATTCTCTAGGGCCTCTATTAGAAAAAAAAAAAAAAAAAGAAGTATATTTGGGGGTTCAAAGTAATTTGAGCAAAAAGTTTTTTCATGTGAACAAAAAGCGTCAGTAAAGGCTTGGTCTTCAAGGAGTGGGTGATGTGTGGCATAAGCTTGTAATGTTGACCCTGAAATGCCAGGATAGTAGAAGCAACCCCTCCAAATGACCCCTTTTAGGAAAGTAGACAATTCAAGGTATTTGCTAAGAGACATGGTATTTTGAAGATCTCATTTGTTGCTACGTTTTTGTAAAAAGAATAAAAATGTTTTTCAAAACCGTGACAAAAATATCTGTAAAATACTCAACATGCCTCATCAAATTCCTTGGGGTGTCTATTTCCAAAAAGGGGTCATTTGTACTATTATCCTGGCACTTTAGGGCCTCCAAAACTGTGATAGGTAGTGGGGAAGTGATATGAGGAAATATGCCCTTTGAAAGCCTGGAGGTGGTCATTGGATTTTGGAGGCCTGTATGTAGCTAGGCTGCCAAAATATCTCACATGTGGTATCCCCATACTTGGGAGAAGTAGAATGTGCTTTGGGGTATTATTCCATATATACCCATGGCATGCATGAGCAATATATCAAAGTGACAACTTTGTGTAAAAAAAAAAAAAAAAAAAAAAAAAGTAATTTTCAAAAAATATGTTCCATGGACTCAAGATGCGCCTCTGCAAAATCCTTCGGGTGTCTACTTTCCAGAAAGGGGTCAATGGGGGGGGGGGGGGATGTTGTACTGCCCTGGCATTTTAGCACTTCAAGAAATGTGATAGGCAGTCAGAAAGTAAAAGCTACATAAATTCCAATATATACAATAGTTTGTAGACGCTAGAACTTTCACACAAACCAATATATATGTATTGAGATTTTTTTTTAACAAAGACAAGTTGCAGAATACAATTTGGCCTATAGTTATGAGTTTATCGGATTTTTTTTTTTTATAAAAAAAAGTGAAAAAAATATCTTTTCAAAATTTTTGGTCTTTTTTGTTTATAGCGAAAAAAAAAAAAAAAAAAAAAAAAAAACAAAAAACACAGAGGTGATCAAATACCACCAAAAAAAGCTCTATTTGTGTGAAAAAGGACATACATTTTGTTTGGGTACAGCATTGCACGACCGTGCAATTACCAGTTGAAAGAGCGCAGTGCCGAACAGCAAAAAATGGCCTGGTCATGAAGGATGGGGGGGTGTAAATCTTCTGGAGGGCAAGTGGTTAATATTCTTTTGTTAAAGATATCAAAAAAATGTAACTGTACTAGGGTTTATGCTTCCCTCTTTTCTGTTGTATCAACGGTTCTACCTTGCAAGAAGTTTTGGAAGCTGCAAAAGCTTTAGATTTGGTACATCTTTAACATAGTACCCATACATAGACTGGATCCTTTAGTGCAGTGGTTCTCAACCTTCCTAATGCCGTGACCCTTTAATACAGTTCCTCATGTTGTGGTGACCCCCAACCATAAAATTATTTACCCAGTAATTATAATTCATGAGTGTCGTTTTACCTCCAATACTGCTGCTTTCTACACAGCAGCTGCTGCTGCTTTTCTACACAGCAGCTGCTGCTGCTTTCTACACAGCAGCTGCTCTTTACACATCGGAAATATGTGTTTTCTGATGGTCTTAGGGGACACCTGTGAAAGGGTTGTTCGACCCCCAAAGGGGTCACGACCCACAGGTTGAGAACCACTGCTTTAGTGGGACTTTGAACCCAGGTCCACACCAATGCAGTGCAGGAATCGCCGATTCCTGCGCGTTACCCGCACCACATTGCAACTGCATCGCGTTCATGCAACCTGGTACAGGTGTCCATGATAAATTAAGAACACCCTTAAACAGATCGCAAACTACAATGTGATTGCCAGAAAATGCATTGCATGGGTGAGAACACCCATGAGATGCAATTCAGGTGCAGGTTCAAAAAAAGGGTCTTGCCCTTTTTGGTGCGGATGCAATTTGAGCCATACAAAATGTATGGCTCAAATCGCACCACAGACATTTGCATGTAATTCTCACAGGACTTCGGTGCGACTCCTGTATGAATTACATGCGGTGCCCTGCACCACAGTGTGAACCTGGGCTCGGGTGTTTGTCTAGGGCAGTGCTATATGTTTTTTTTACCTTCACGTTTACACAGCACTGCTTGCAAGACATTGATTTTGTTAGGTAGTAAATCACGCTCATGACAACATCCCCACAAAGTGCACCTTTACAAACAGGCAGCGCAGCTCCCATACGTCTCAATTAAAGGTGACATTCAGTTCCAGAACTATGCTTTCTAAGATCCAGTGTTCCAAGTTCTAGGGTGCAGGTAGCCTAACCCTGCATCACAGGACCATCTGTGGCTATTAGCAAATCAAAATTTGCAAATCACAATTAAATAATTAAGCTAGCAAGGTTTTAGTATGCAGCAATATTTTTTTTGTCAGATAAAAGTGTACAAGATTTGAGAATAGTGAATAGGAAAACCACAGGAAAAGTCAAAAAAATGTAAATGAATAAATGAAAAAGCATTGCTCTAGCATGGGATAAAAAAAAAAAAAAACTCACACTGAGGGTTTACTAAAAAACTGGAGTGTGCAAGATCTTCTGCAATTTTGCATAGAAACCAGTCAGTTTCCAGGTTTTGTTGTCAAAGCTTAACTGAACAAGCTGAAGTTAGAACATGATTGACTACCATGCACAGCTGCACCAGATTCTGAGTGCTTCAGCTTTTGTAAATTTCCCCTAAATATCCGATAAGAGTCATTACCTTTACATCTCGGTTTTAACCGTCATTTTATGAGATTAAAAGTTTTTGTGTATGTATCTCTCTTCTGGGAAATTAAACTTTGCCCATGACCGATTGCGTGAACTGAGAGCTATACTAGACAACACACTACGGACAAGTCTTAAAAGCTACACACCCCAAGACTAAGGGCTCTGTGTTCTGTTTTGCACTATAGTCACACTTGTGAAAATCTAAAGATCAAGTTTTTGAACTACAAAGTGCAGGCATACCTGCAACAACCTCCTAATAAACTGCTGTTACGGCCAAATCCTGGGCCATTTTGACAAGCAAAAGGTGTCTTTTTTTCCCCCCCAAGGCAAACATTTTAGCATTCAGTTGTTCATTCTAGATAAACTCGGAATTAGAAAAGGATTATCAGTGCTTCCTGTGCCAGTTTGAATAAGCAACATAGCTTGGGTGGGGTACAGGGGTGAGAATCATGTACAGTAACAAGTGGAGGCAATTACAGTGATTCTAAAGGCTTTTTTTTTTTATAAATAAAAACATGTCTATATTCATCTGCTATGCTCACTGGCCAATGGCTCCCACTTCTGTCTCAGCTGATGAGAAGAGGGAGTCCAGGGATAGAGACTCCAGTGCACATCGCTGGATCAAGAAGGGGGCTTAGGTATTATGGGGGGGATGCTGCACAGAGAAGGTTTTTTTTACTTTCACGCAAAGAATGATTGAAGGTAAAAACCTTGAGCGTTTACAACCACTTTTAAGTCTGAAACTGTTGCCATAAGAGTCTAGAGAGCAATGTGATGTGTTTTTGCTGGAACGCTACATTAGCCTTTGTGTTTTAGGATTGGAGGATTCTTTGCAAGAAATAAGATTAACATCAAGTTCACATCAAACCCAACTTTGAAATCATGCGAAATCGCATGAAAAGTAGTGAAAGTACTATTTTAGAAATCAGTGCGGCTCCAACCAAGTTGGAACCGCACCCATTTGACCGCTGTAATTGTAGACAATAGGGTGCAACTTGGCATATGATTTGCAAGTCGCATGGCATGAAAATCACACCCAGTGTGACCGGGGTGTAAAGATTTTTGCAGCTAATATGGAGCCAATATCTGCAATAAAAGAAGCTGCTACATTAAAACTGACTGAACAGATGCTGAACATTATTTTATATTTTTATAAAGAGATCATGCATCTGTACTCCAAAGCACAACTAAAAATAAAGAGTGCTAAAATAAGTGGTGTTCCAAAAATTTATTCACAAATTAAATCTGATGTGCATTATTGGGGGGGCTGCTGTCCACGACCACGTCCAAATCCTCCTCTCTAAAAAAAAAAAAAAAAAAGGAAGTAAAAATGGAATAATTAGATTAAAACAAAAGGGCTATACATTTCACAAGACCATACTTGATTTGCCAAAAGAAAAAAAGTTTACTTACAAATTGGAATTCTGTAGCTGCTCCAGCACCAGCCTCAGCCTTTTTATCAGCTCCAGCTGCAAAATTAGAAAATTAATGAAAAATTAGAAAAAGTAGCCATGTCCCTTATTTAACCATTTACCACCTGGCCAATGGTAAAATGACGGCCGGGCGAGACTCGCATCGATCTGGGAGGGCGTTATAGGACATCCTTTCCGGATTGCACATGCCTGCAGGGCCACTCTGTCGAGATTTGTCACCGGCTGTGTACCTTGAACAAGGTCGATGACAGATCTGTGCACCGGCCCCATTGCCAGCACCATGTGACCTGCTGTGACAAAGCACAGCAGGTCACATGACAGTTGTAAACAATGGATGGCTTCCTTTCATGCCATCCATTTGTATACAAGTGTCTAGCTGTGAATGGTCACAGTGATTGTGTGTAAAAAAAATAAAAAAAAATACTGATCACTTCCCCAAAGTAGTACAATGTTACTATGGTAACATTCTACTACTTTGGTCATAGTGTAATATGAAAAGAAAATCCTAAGAGAAAAAAGATTTTTATAAAAATCATCAATAAAATTTAAGGACAATTTAACAAAAAAAAAAAATAAAAATATTTATTTTTTTTTTTCCAGTACCATCACCAGTTAGTGTCCCTGATCACGGCCACACCAGTTATATGATGACACTATACTGCACTCGTAACAGTATATATATATAAAAAAAAAAAAAAGTTTCTAATTTCTTCATTTTCCAAAAAAAAAAAAAAAATTACAACATCAAAAAACTCGCCATGCTTCTTATGAAATACGTTAGACTGTCTACTTTGCAAAAAGGAGTCATTTGAGGGATATCTGTACTGTTCTGATATTTTTTGGGCCTCAAGAAATTATATTGGCTGTCAGTACTTCAGGACTGATCAATTTTCAGATGTATGCCATATAGTTTGTGAACTCTAGCTTTCCTACAGACTAAATAAATACTGATTTGGGTTATTTTCACCAAAGAAATGTAGCAGAATACATCTTGCCCTAAATTTATGAACAATTATTTATTTGCAAACTTTTATAACAGAAGCAAAGAAAAACATGATTTTTTTTGTTCAAAATTTTTTGGCTTTTTTTGTATATTTAGCAAAAAAAAAAAAATCCCAGTGGTGATTAAATACCACCAAAAGATAGCTCTATTTCTGTGAAGTGATAAAAATTTAGTTTGGGTACAGTGTTGCATGACAGCGCAATTGTCAAAGTGTGGGAGCGCTGAAACCTGAAAATTGGCCTGGGCAGGAAGGCGGTAAAAGTGCCCGGTATTGAACTGGTTAAGAACTGCACCTATTATATTATATATGGGCAAACACCCCCCCCCCACCAAAATCCAGTGTGCTCCTAAGTTGCTGCACCCAACTGACAATACCTTCTTTCACTTGTGGACTATCTACATATTCTAAAGATAGGAAGATTCCAGCAGAGAAACAAAAAAACTTGGGTATATTGTTTGGAATATCCTGTGCAGCAGACAGTTGTGCAATCAGGTTGTCCGCTCAGGACCAGGCATCTGTCTGTATTTTCAGTGTTTTTAAAGTTATTAAACATGGGCAAATTAACATGAACTGCAGGCGAAGTAGTAATATGTATAATATGTAGTTTATTTTTCATTATTTTGCCCAGACACTTAACAAAAAAAATTAAAAACAAAAATTGTTTAGAAGGTACACCGCTTTTTTTTGGGGGGGCTGGGGAGATTCGCCTGACACCGTGTTACACCCTAAATACAGGTTTACCATGTAAGAAAAGGTGGAGTTAGCCACACACACTTACGTGGAGCAGTGCTGCGTCTGTAGGTATCTCTGTCTGTCTCACCACGGGATAAACGGGCAGGACGTTCACCCTCTAAACCTGAAAAAAAAAAAAAAAAACAACACACACACACATTAGTGGTAGAGCATAAGAAATATATACTAATGGGGAAACGATCATTTTAAAACTTCAGAATGATGTTCTGACCCTTGGAAGAAATGTGTAACTTATTAAAAAACCTGCCTCCTTTAAAGAACTGTAAAAAAAAAAAAAAAAAAAAAACCTGCTAAACATTTTCTGGCAGATCCAAGTCAATAAAAACTAATGCATTTAAAACAGGGGTGTCCATTTTCACGTAGAAAATGGAAGATCGTACAGCTTCTTCCTGCTATAAAAGTTTGTGACTGGGGTTAATCTTAACATGTATCCATAACCAAAACTTTGAGTTTTTAAATAGATTGGGGAAGGATTAGAACTGCCATCAAGGAAGTTGGAGAGATTCCTTCACTTTATGTTTGGGGGAAAAAAAAAAAAAACACAAAAAAAAAAAACACCACACAAAAAACAAAAAAGGAAAGCTGTCCCGAAATCCTATTGTCATTCTCATCCACTGAGAGATAGAGAAATCATATACTGTTGGCAAGTCTAAAAGCAGTCCAGCTGAGAGGTGGGCAACAGCAGACACACCATGAAGCAAACAAGGCTGGATTGTAAAGTTTTGCCCAGAACAAGATCTACTCTACTTCTCTTGATGTGGCAAGTCTTCCTCTGATGGTTGATGCATGACAATGCCATAGAATCCGGATGAGATGACCCTCCAAGCCTGCATATCCAGCATTACACCGACAACCACATCACCTGAAGTTTCCGAATATTAATAGAAGGACCAAGATTCTCCCACACTTACAAGAGATATTTTTTTTTCTTTTGTACAAACATTCTAAATATGATGAACAGGCAACAGTCAACATAATCACTTTCCAGGATTCCGCCAACCTGCATATATTTAGATCAGTGGTTGTCAACCGCTAAAAAGGGGCCTCACATGCGGCCCCCGACTTCACCAAAGTGCAGCAGAGAACGTTCAATAAATGAGAGGACTGTCGGAAACTGATACCTAGACCTAACAGAGGAAATGAGGGTCAGAAAATGAGGACATGCAACACTTTTGGCTAAGGGAAATGTTACAGGAGACCATATAAGGCTAGTAGAGATCAATGCTATTACCCTAGTCAATATTCCCATTACAAACTACTGAGGTTATAGGGCTGCACATTATGTACCAAAGGCAGCAGAGATCTGCAAGTGGAAGGAAAGAAAACTGCTCAATTCCCCCCATCAAGTCAGTATTGAGGTGGGCATCCCATGTGCAACGTCATTGTGTTCTTGCTGGCGGCACTAAATCATTTGGGGAAAAAATTAACAAGCTGGTTTGCACAATTTGATCGATAGGTTGACTTGTTTACAATCAGGGTACCCATACATGGATTGAAATTCAAGCGGTCCCTGCTGAACCTCCTGAATGTCAACCCATGTATGGCCGGCTTTAGTTGATATATGCAAGTCCACACAACTAAACCAACCAGGTGTGAAAGACACCTGGAGAAAAAAAAAAAAAACCCCTGCACAGTCAGTGAATGTAAACCAAGGGAAAAAAAAAAAAAAAAAAAGTTAAGTTGACAGTACCTTAGGGAGTCTCTGTGACAAGTCTATGGACAACAGTTCCCATGTCAACCCATCAAATGCAGCCATAAATGAGAAAATTCGTACATCTTTTGATTATTATTTTATTTATTTTAAATCAGAATATTAGTGGAAAATGAATGAATGTGACAAAGCCAATATTTAGCCAGGTACTGAGGGGAGGTAACTTTAAAGTGGATCTAAAGGCTGAAGGTTTTTTTTTTTTTTTTTTTTACTGTATTCCTACACCGTCAACAGGGGGGCTCGGGAAGAGAATCGGATCGGGGCTGCTCTGTGCACAACCACTGCACAGAGCAGTGTTTTTTTTTTTCCTAAATAACAATCACTTTAACAAAAAATGCGAACACACTGCTTGTAGGGAAAATAGCAAGACTGCCAATTTTGCTCTTTTGAAAATACTGTTTGCCTGGCTATCATGCTGTTACAAGTTACCAAGTGATATAGTCAGAGATCCATGCTACAAGTATTCTTAGAAGATGATCAAAAATAGCAGTCCCGATATCACTCCTAATAGTGTTGATAGCCTAATTTGGGAAGGGGGAATCCCAGCGACATGACTGGCAGAAAATGGCCTGTCATATGCTGTACCTCATTGGCTATAGATCTACTCCTTGTGGAAACTAAGGGGGATAAGCATACGTACTAACAACTGAGCAAACAAGTGTACCAGATGAGCAGTTATAAGAATGCAGTCCAACAATTCACTGGAGCTTCATGAATTTTAGAAAGACAAATACACAGTATAATACCAAAGCTAAAAAACCTTGAAGTGCCCACTTTAACAGACTAACCAGCATTCCATCCATTACCTTTAGGTCGTGGTCTGCCTGTCTCAGGACGACTCCTCCTTAGAGTTGCAGGAACAATCTCTGGAGGTAAGTGTAGAAAATCCCGCAAGTACTGGATGCCCTCATTTGTCAGGTACCAGTAAAAGTGACGCCACGCAAACTGCTCTTTCACGTATCCCCGAGACTTCAAAGACTACAGGAGAAAAACAGTAAGGATGACGATTTCAAAGTGCCTAAATATTTCAAATTACATATGAAGGGTTTAAATTATCCTCAGAATTACTGATAATAGGAAACAGCTTTTTGCAGATTTGCAAATATACAGTGGGGTTGATTTACTAAAGGCAAATATACTGTGCACTGCAAGTGCAGTAGCTCTACATAGTTCTGTAATGAGGGGAAGCTCTGTCGATTTCTATCATCCAATGATGTGCAAACACAAATGCTGGGTTTTTTTTTTTTTTTATTTTGCTTGCATGCGACTGGGTATTCTTTGCAAAGTGAAGCTTTACCTCACTTACTAAGGTCTGGAGAAACTGTACTTGCAACGCACAGCATATTTGCCTTTAGTAAATCAACCCCACAACGTTTCAATCCCCACACAAGCTTGACAACTATCAAGGTGAACACAAAAGATATACAAGTGTTGTAAAAAGATTTCCTTCTCTTTTACCTGCATAGCCTTCATGACATGGAGGTTAGGTACATTCTTGTCTGCCAATTCTGGATGCTTTGGCATATGCACATCCTTCTTGGCCACCATAACTCCCTCCTTAAACAGGAGCTCGTAGATGGCAATGCGGTTTTTCTTAGGCATCAACATCTAAAAAGGGAGAGAACACACTGCAAAATCACACATCTGTTCTTTAAAATATTAGTGCTGCATATATAAACAAACAACCACCACAATAGGACCTGTGTAGCCTTATTCATAGTAAACCCACACAAGAGAAATAGAGACACTGGCGAGGATGGCTCATACAAATGCTAGATTCCTGGTGTGAAGGCACTGACATCAATACTTTGAAAAGTATGAAGACACAGGGATTCAAAAGTCCTTAACTGCATATATGTTTCAGGTAAGTGAATTAAAGTGTTACTAAACCCAGGACCCTGGGTTCACTCTGGTTTCCCACAGTACACACACCATGGAAATTATTTTAGTAAAAATAAACTGCTAAATACCTTTTCTCATCAGCAGTTAGAGCAGTCTTATGACTTCTATCAGTGTTCAACAGAGCACGGATTACAGCTTGTAGGAGGAGTTTTCTTTCTGCTCTATGAGGATGCAGAACCCCTAACCTCTGTCTGGATAGTGCTGATTGGCCCTGTGCTGATCACATGCACCCTCCCAAGGGGAAAAAAACAACCTCTAGCAATATACACCAAACTGAGCATGTGCAGAATGTCTACACATGATATATCTTATCTCGAGATAAGAGGGGGTAACTGGAAGAAGGGGAGGATCAGAGAAGTCAGGATCAAACAGCATTTTTAGACAGTGCAGAGGATTAACCCCTTAGGCTCCACATTGAGTACATCAATCATGCTTTACTGAATATACAGACTGAATTAACTGTTGTGGGTTTAGTAACACTTTAAATTCTGGAACCAAGGTGGAAAGAATGATGGGCAACTTGCAGTTTAAGAAGAATAAAGCCATCCATTTAGAGCACAGTGTGCGTGCGTCAGTGATGTCACTGGCTGCTTCAAGTGTGAATATCTAAACACCACACGTTTAACAGTCACTGTACCTACAGGTAAACCTTATTAGAGGCTTACCTGTGGGTACAAGTTAAAAAGCATAGTTTACTACTACTTTAAAGCACAGGTGGCTCATTGGATACAGCTACTGTTGGGGATGACAATTTACAAACTGTACTGTCCTAAATAAGGGCCACTTTACACCATTGTAAAGCAGTAGTGCATGTTAACCCACATTGCCAAAACTGCTGCTTGTACAATTTTTGCACAGCTTGGGTATGTTAGCAGCTCATTCAACAGACTGGAGTGGTGTGCACAGGCCCTTTATGTACATAAATCCTATACAACTCAGCACCACTGTTGCCTCTTACATTGACACAATGTACCAACAAGGGGGAAGACTATTGTTTTGTACCTAACTGAACATTTCAGGCCTAGAGCACAGTAACACGAATGGCACTCAAGCCTAACTTCTTAACCCCGAACACATATGTGCGGCAGCAGTAGGGTGGACTTCAAAGTGGTTCTAAAGGCTTACTTTTTTTTTACCTTCATGAATTCTATGCATGAAGGTAAAAAACCTTCTGTGTGTAGTAGCCCCCCTAATACATCAATGTCCACAAGAGTATCAGTTCACTGGGGACTCTGAGGGGACAGGGCCAAGCCACGGTTCTGTTGGTGAATGGACATGCAGAGTAGTGGCTTAGGAGCATGCCTGCTTGGGTGCCCCCGTAGTAAACTGCTTGCTGGAGGGGCACCAAGCAGGAGAGAGGGGCCAAAAGCGTAAGCAGGGGACCAGAGAAGAGCAGGCCAGCAGGGGTGCTCTGTGCAAAACCACTGCACACAGCAGGTAGGTATGACATGTCATTAAACAAAAAAAAAAAAAAAAGGAAGACTTTTAGTATCACTTTAACACTCACACGCTGCACATGTGCATTACTAGGCAGCCAACGTTTCTGTGCTGAAAGTTCCCTCCTAGCACAAAGACTGAACTGTGAAAAAACAGCTTTTGTTCCCCGCTAACGATTGGTAGCTGGTGGGACCAGCTCCTGATCATGTGACAGCCTGCCGTATGGGATGTACGAATAAGCAGATATCTTATGAACTACCATGGCGCTCCAAAGCGCCATGGTAGTTTATTGTGAACTACAAGCCGCTAAGGCTGCTGGGACTTGTAGGCACTTATTCACAGAACACTGTGAATGATGGACGCAGCCATGTGGGCGGTGGGAACATGTTAGGTGTTCCACCCTAAACGTATGCTTTAAGGCAGTGGTCTCCAAACTGCAGCCCTTTGCTTGCTTTTATCTGGCCCTTGGGGCACAGTGCCCCCCAATGACACCAACGACGGGGCACAGTGCCCCCCAATGACACCAACGACGGGGCACAGTTCCTCCCAATGACACCAACAACGGGGCACAGTTCCTCCCAATGACACCAACGACGGGGCACAGTTCCTCCCAATGACACCAACGACGGGGCACAGTTGACGGGGCACAGTGCCCCCCAATGACACCAACGACGGGGCACAGTTCCTCCCAATGACACCAACGACGGGGCACAGTTCCTCCCAATGACACCAACGATTCCTCAGAATGACACCAACGACGGGGCACAGTTCCTCCCAATGACACCAACGACGGGGCACAGTGCCTCCCAATGACACACCAACGACGGGGCACAGTGCCTCCCAATGACACCAACGACGGGGCACAGTGCCTCCCAATGACGGGGCACAGTGCCCCCCAATGACACCAACGACGGGGCACAGTTCCTCCCAATGACACCAACGACGGGGCACAGTTCCTCCCAATGACACCAACGACGGGGCACAGTGCCCCCCAATGACGGGGCACAGTGCCCCCCAATGACACCAACGACGGGGCACAGTTCCTCCCAATGACACCAACGACGGGGCACAGTGCCTCCCAATGACACCAACGACGGGGCACAGTTCCTCAGAATGACACCAACGACGGGGCACAGTTCCTCCCAATGACACCAACGACGGGGCACGTGGACACCAACGACGGGGCACAGTGCCTCCCAATGACACCAACGACGGGGCACAGTGCCTCCCAATGACAGTGCCCCCCAATGACACCAACGACGGGGCACAGTTCCTCCCAATGACACCAACGACGGGGCACAGTTCCTCCCAATGACACCAACGACGGGGCACAGTTCCTCCCAATGACACCAACGACGGGGCCCAATTCCTACCAATATTATTTATTTCAGGTACTTCTATAGCACCGTCAATTTACGCAGCGCTTTACACATATGTATTGTACATTCACATCAGTCTCTAACCCTCATGGGGTGCACAATATAATGTCCCTAACTCACATTCATACATACACATACTAGGGACAATTTAGACAGGATCCAATTCACCTACCAGCATGTCTTTGGAGTGTAGGAGGAAACCGGAGTACCCAGAGGAAACCCACACAGGCACAGAGAGAACATGCAAACTCCAGGCAGCTGGTGCCGTGGCTGGGATTCGAACCAACGACCCTAGTACTGCCAGGCGGAAGTGCTAACCATTTAGCCACTGTGCTGCCCAATGACACCAGTTATGGGGCACAATTCCTGCCAATATGGCACAGTTCCTCCCAATGACGCCAATGATGAGGCAGTTTCTCCCAATTACATCAGTGATGGGAGACAATTCCTCCTCAACACACCGATGATGGGGCACTATTCCTACCAATGACATCAACAATGGGCCCCAATTACACCAAGAATGGGGTACTATTCCTACCAATGACACCAAGGATGGGGCATTGTTTACTCCAACTGATGCTGGGACATTTTCTACTCCCGATGGGCACAGTGCAGCCCCTCTAAAGTCAGGACAGTAAACTGGCCCTTTGTTCAAAAAGTTTGGAGATCCCTGCTTTAAGGGATGGGTTATAATCCCGATTAGTATTTTTGCCATCCCATGGCAAGGTTTTCCTTCACTACCTGACCCATAGTCGAAACAGGAAGCAAGGGGAATCCCTGGTAGTCACTAGAACAAGAGTCCCCAATGAAGGATTTCCCCCTCTATTCCTGTTCTGGTGACAACCCAAATAGTCTCAAGTGATCAGGACAGGCAGGATAAATCCCCCTAAGAGGAAACAGAGGATGTAAAAATCAAAAGCACACACCACACCATCACATGCACCCCTCTCCATTCTAATAAAAGAAAAGAAAAAAAAAGTTTCGGACTTCAGCTATACTTTATTAGCACTTGTCAGGATCTTCTGCATGACGATACAAAGGCCACGTGAATTGGTAATAATTTGAATGTTGTGCTTCCTATGTCCAGCATAGCAGAGATAGGTTTCCCTCCCATGGTGCTTTCTAAAGCCTATGTATACATAAAGCTCCCACTCCTGAACCCTCCTATGAAGTGCTCCGTGGGTCCTCTATGTCCCCCTACTACACGAAACAAGCAGTGCACTCGGCGGAGGTTTAGCAGCAGAGGCGAACACACGCTGTACAATACAGCCAGCAAAGGAGAGCCGCCTGTGGACACAGCAACAACGAGCAGGCCGCAACACAAGCCCGAACCCCACCATGTCACTGAATACACATCTCCCTAGTCACAGACACACAATATTCAACGCCTCTGTTCCTTCTGAGAACCTTCTACTTCTCTGCCGGGCACCCGACCCGCACGGTGAACGGATGGCCGAGAAACACAACGGATTCCAATTACCCCGGTAGTAGCTCACCTTTGCAGCTTTCTCGGCGGCCTGAGCAGGAAAGGAAAGAGCATGCGCAGAGCGAGCTACTTCCTTCTGCCTGTAGGACCCCAGTTGGGACGTCTAAGACACTGCCTGATTTAAAAAAAAATAAATCATGACCTGTACGAAAGTACTCAACTGATTATTGCATACTGAACTATTTTTAGGTACAAAAGATGTATTCAGCTTTCTTTTTAATAACTGAAAAGTGATGAACGATGTCTGCTAATAAGGAACAATACCAACCAATCATGGCTACTTGTTTGGGAACCTTGCATTGTCACAAGGCTGTAAAGCCAATCACAAACACTTCACACCAGATGCAGTCCAGTGCATTTTTTTCCTGCATCAAAAATGCATGCACAGTGTTTTCCATGTATTCACACCAGTGCAGTCAGCTCCCAGTGCAGAAAAAAAAGTAGAAGATGCATCAAATCTACACCGGAACGGCACGTGGTGTGAACTGTAAGCAAAAACGTATCTGGAATGCATCCGGAGTGCGTTTTTGTGATGTGAACTGGCCCTTAGTTATGCACACTTTCTGGTGCGTTTTTGATGCATTCCAGTTAATTTTTTTTTCCCCTTTTTCTTCATATTGGGACATGTGCGTTCCAGTGCTTTTTGGTGCGGTCTGGTGTGTTTTAGTACAGTTATGTGCAGGAAAAATGCAGCCTGTTCTTTTTTTCTGCAACCAGAACACACTGGAACTGGAAACACCGATGTGAACTAACATCGACAACCATATAACCTACTTTATGTGCAGTTTGGATGCAGAAAAACAGCACACTGAAATGTCTGTAGTGTGAACTGACCCTTAATGTAACTTGCCTGCTCATTTTTAATAGAGCATTTAGTTCCACATTCATGCCAAACTCCAGCTAATACTTAGGGCTGGTTCAGACTGGAATGCAGTTCAGTGTGTGTTTTTTTCTGCATCAAAAATGCTTGCACAGTGTTTTCCATGTATTCCAATGCTCACACCTGTGCAGTCAGTTACAGACAGTTTCCGATGCAGATATAAAAAGTAGAACATGCTGCATTTTTTCTGCACAGAACCATACTGGAACACAGCAAAACGCATCAGCAACGAACCGGAACAAAGTGTGGTGTGAACTTTAAAGCGATTCTAAAGGCTCTTTTTTATGTAAAAAAACATTATATAGTATCACTCCTAATGCAGTGAATACAAGCGGCGCATACATTTCATAATGCTATCATTAAACATCAATTAACATTCATATATTGTGTCATTCTTTGTCTTCACCAATATTGCTGTAACAAAAAATACATCAATGAATAAAATTATAATATTATTATACAGTATTTATATAGCGCCAACAGTTTGCTCAGCGCTGTACATTATAATGGGAGACAGTACACGAGACAGTACAGTAACAATACAATACACGAAGGGTTTGAGGGCCCTGCTCCTTGGAGCTTATAATCTAGGAATGAGGGGATTGTGGTACAGGAGGAAATAGCTGTGGGGAATGGAGTGGTAGGAAGAGTTGAGGAGATCAGCAATTAGGTGAGGGCGGGGTAGGCTTCCCTGAAGAGATGGGTTTTCAGGGTGCACCTAAAGGTGAGGAGGGTAGGTGACAGTCTGATGGATTGCGGTATTGAGTTCCAGAGGATGGGGGAAGCCCTGGAGAGGTCCTGGAGATGGGCATGGGAGGAGGAGACCAGGGAACTAGAGAGTAGGAGGTCTTCTGAGGAACGGAGAGTACGTTTTGGGTGGTAAATGGATATCAGGTCGGCGATGTAGTTTGGGGCAGTGTTATGAACAGCTTTGTACGTCAATGTTAGTAATTTGAATATTATGCGTTGGGCAATCGTAAGCCAGTGGAGGGATTGGCAGAGGGAGGTGGCGGATACGGAGAGGTTAGTAAGGTGGATGAGTCTGGCTGCAGAATTCAGGATAGACTGAAGCGGGGATAGGTGACTAAATTAGCACACTCTAATTATTAAAGTAAACCCAAGGAAAAACATTCACTTTCACCCTTTAAAGCTGACACAACTATAAATTATAAAATCTTTTTCCTTTCCCAAATTATATTAATACATTAAAAAATATAAATAAGATAAAAATAATAAGTAAAAAGTAAAAAAATATATAAAATAAATATAAATAAATATTTCCTTATCCAAATGGCCACAAGTGCAATTCCAAAAAACTATAGTCCTCTTTTTTTCTTCTTCCAAGAAAATATCTCTCCTATTTTCAATCTTCAAATCATGTCCAAATATTCATATACCTCAAAAACCAAAAAAAAACAACATAGTGTAATGTGATATGATACCTTCCCTAATTGCCAATTCATTTATGAGGAGAATGGAGGAGGAATTCCAGGATTGATCTGGACCCGGGAGCCTGAAGCCATCTCTTATATGTGTGACAAGTTTGTTTGAAACATCATTGGGGAGAGTGGAGGAGGAATACCAGGATTGATCTGGACCCGGGAGTTTGATGCCATCTCTTATGTGCTTTACAAAGTTTGTTTAAAACATTATTGGGGTAATTATCCACTGCTACACGAGTTGGAGTGCTGTTTGTTCTGTGCAGTGGGTTAAATAATAACATTGAATTGTCACAGAGTATGTATGATAGCACTGGTCACTTGAGTGGATCACTATTGTTGGTTGAAGTGTTCACAGAAGAGTGTTTTTACACTTGGATTTATTTATATACTTTTTATATATGGGTGTATATGTTTAAGCACGTATATATAGAGATATATATATTTATAATATATATATATATATATATATTTATCACATGCACAATTTTAGTGTTTGCTGTGACTCACTACATATGGCACGTTTTCCCTTTTGATATAAGGATAATACATTATGTTAAGTTTTTTTTTTGTTTTTGAGGTATATGAATATTTGGACATGATTTGAAGATTGAAAATAGGAGAGATATTTTCTTGGAAGAAGAAAAAAAGAGGACTATAGTTTTTTGGAATTGCACTTGTGGACATTTAAGGATAAGGAGGATATTTATTTATATTTATTTTATATATTTTTTTACTTATTATTTTTATCTTATTTATATTTTTTAATGTATTAATATAATTTGGGAAAGGAAAAAGATTTTATAATTTATAGTTGAAGCGGGGATAGGCTGTGGTGAGGTAGGCCGGTGATGAGGGAGTTACAGTAGTCAAGTCGTGATATAATAAGGGAGTGAGTGAATGAGTTGCTTTGTAGTTTCTGGGGTTAGGAACGGACGTATTTTGGAGATGTTGCGGAGGTGGAGTCTACATGAATTTGTCAGCGATTGGACCTGGGGTTGGAAAGACAGATTGGAGTCTAGAATGACACCTAGTACTCTGGCTTGCGTGGTGGGGCTGATGGTGGTGTTGTTGGTCTTGATGGAGAAGTCGGTGGGGGAACGCAGGCTGGGGGGAAAACTAGGAGCTCGGTTTTGGAAAGGTTTAATTTGAGGAAGTGGAGTGTCATCCAATCTGATATGTCATTCAGAAGGCTAGTGATTCGGGTGGAGACTGAAGGGTTGAGACGAGGGGTAGAGAGGTAGATTTGGGTGTCATCGGCATAGAGATGGAAGTTGAAGCCGTGGGAGTGTATCAGTTGGCCAAGGGAGGAGGTGTAGATGGAGAAGAGAAGGAGGACAGAACCTTGAGAGACCCCAACAGAGAGGGGGAGTGAGGGGGAGGAGGCAGTGTCATAGGTAACACTGAAGGAGTGCTGTGATAGATAGGAAGAGAGCCAGGAGAGAGCGGAGTCTCTGAGGCCAAAAGAGTATAGTTTTTTGAGGAGGAGGGGGTGGGCGACCATGTCTAAAGCCGTGGAGAGGTCAAGGAGTAGGAGCACTGAGTAGTGGCCATTAGCTTTGGCGGTTAGCAGGTCGTTGGTGAGAGTGAGTAGGGCGGTTTCGGTGGAGTGAAGGGGATGGAAGTCAGACTGTAGGGGATCAAGGAGGTTGTTGTCGTTGAAGTGGGAGCTTAGGCGATTATAGACTAAGCGCTCAAGGAGTTTGGATGTAAATGGCAGCAGGGAGAAGGGTCTAAGGTTGTTTAGGTCGGTGGGATCCAGGGAGGGTTTTTTAAGTATGGGAGTGATGTCCACGTGCTTCAGAGGGGAGGGGAATGCACCAGTAGAGAGGGAGAGATTAAAGATATGAGTGAGGGAGCATAGGATGAAGGAAGAGGGTGATCGTAGGAGGTGTGTGGGGACAGGGTCAAGGGGGCAAGTGGTAAGGCGAGCTTCAGAGAAGACCTTAGTGACGAGTGGAGTGTTGAGGGGTTTTTAGTGTGAGGAATGTTGGGCGGGGTGGAGGTCTGGACAGTGGCGAGGTCGAAGGAAAGGGGCGTTGAGGGGGTTTACGTGTGAGGGATGCTAGGTGGGGCGGAAGTCGATCTTGCTTTGGAAGTGGTTAGCAATCTCGTGGGCGGTGAGTGAGGTACTGGGTGGAGGTGGGGGCGGAGAGAGTAGAGAGTTAAAAGTAGAGAAGAGCCAGCGAAGACTGGAGGAGTGGGTATTGATGAGGATTACAAAGTAGGCTTGCTTGGCAGCGTGGAGGGAAGAAGTGTAGTTGCGGAGGGCAGACTTATTGCCCTGGGTGAACGCTTGTTGGGATCTGGATAATGAATCAACTAAGTGAATATGACACAAAATTGTGACAATCTACGTATTCCGTGAAAAAAAAAATATATATAAAAACTCAGAAAAAGTCCCGTGATAGAAATTAAAGTCCAGTGTTGAAATAAATTCATTAAGAAAAAATTAAAGTCCAGTGATGAAATGAATTCATGTGACGCAAAAAACATAAACGTGTTGAAATTCTGTGCTGAGCCCACCATGCACCCCCACTCAGGTGTGCACTCACCAGAAATAGCCTTTTTTAAAGCATAATCAAGAGGATATCCATTAATTGGACCAGGAGGTTCCTCCAAGGTGTCTGCAGCTGGCTGGAGTTACTCTTGAAGGACTGAGTAGCCAGCGCGTAAAGTGTGCTTTTAATTTGGGGCTGATGGGCCAATGGCTCCCGCTTGCTGCCTCAGCCAATGAGAAGGCAGAAACCTGGGATTGCCGAGGCTGTCATTCACAATGCTGGATCGCAATGAGGCTCAGGTAAGTATGGAGGGGGCAGAGGGGACTGCTGCACACAGAAGGTTTTTTTACGTGCATGCATAGAATGCACTGTACTGGAACACAGCAAAACACATCAAAAGCACACCGGAACAGAGTGTGGTGTAAACTGTAAGCAAAAACGTATCCGGAGTATAGGTGAACTAGCCCTTAAGCAGTTACAGAAAAAAAAATTTTCATCTCCTGTACTGTGTCCGCAGTCTCTGGTCATCCCCTGTACTGTGTCTGCAGTCTCTGGTCATCTCCTCCTGTACTGTCTGCAGTCTCTGGTCATCTCCTGTACTGTGTCCACTGTGTCCACAGTCTCTGGTCATCTGTACTGTGTCCGCAGTCTCTGGTCATCTCCTGTACTATGTCCGTGGTCTCTGGTCATCTCCTGTACTATGTCCACAGTCTCTGGTCATCTCCTGTACTGTGTCCGCGGTCTCTGGTCATCCCCTGTGCTGTGTCTGCAGTCTCTGGTCATCTCCTGTGCTATGTCCGCAGTCTCTGGTCATCTTCTGTGCTATGTCCGCAGTCTCTGGTCATCTCTTGTGCTATGTCCGCAGTCTCTGGTCATCTCCTGAACTATGTATGCAGTCTCTGGTCATCTCCTGTACTGTGTCTGCAGACTCTGGTCATTTCCTGTACTATGTCTACAGTCCATTGGTTCAGAATATTTTTTTGTTTTTTCACCTCTAAAACCTAGAAAACCTGTCAAATTCAGGTACCCGCTCCCCCTCCCTCCCCAAAGGTCCGCAGTCTCTTGGTCATCCCCTGTACTGTTTGCAGTCTCTGGTCATCCCCTGTACTGTCTGCAGTCTTTGGTCATCCCCTGTACTGTCTGCAGTCTCTGGTCATCCCCTGTACTGTCTGTCTGCAGTCCTCTGTCTGCAGTCATCTCCTGTACTGTGTCCGCAGTCTCTGGTCATCTCCTGTACTGTGTCCGCAGTCTCTGGTCATCTGTACTGTGTCCGCAGTCTCTGGTCATCTGTACTGTGTCCGCAGTCTCTGGTCATCTCCTGTACTATGTCTGTGGTCTCTGGTCATCTCCTGTACTATGTCCGCGGTCTCTGGTCATCCCCTGTACTGTGTCCGCAGTCTCTGGTCATCTCCTGTGCTATGTCCGCAGTCTCTGGTCATCTCCTGTGCTATGTCCGCAGTCTCTGGTCATCTCTTGTGCTATGTCCGCAGTCTCTGGTCATCTCCTGAACTATGTATGCAGTCTCTGGTCATCTCCTGTACTGTGTCTGCAGACTCTAGTCATTTCCTGTACTATGTCTACAGTCCATTGGTTCAGAATATTTTTTTTTGTTTTTCACCTCTAAAACCTAGGCGCGCCTTATGGTCTGGTGCGTCTTATGGGGCGAAAAATACGGTATATTAACCAGTTGCCCTCTGCCCTATAGCAGAAGTACTGCTACAGGGCGGCAGGGCTGCGCAAAATAACGCATATATACGTGATTTGCATTTCTGAGCAGGGCGTGCGCTGCTATTAATGGCTACAGATGTCAGCCACCGGGTCCCAGCCGGCACTCGCCGATCATCAGGGAAAGCTGACAGGAGAGAGACCTGTGTGTAAATCTAGGGAACTGTTATTTTATACACTAGTTGTGGTTTGTTTACATCCATATACAGCCACAACCATAGAGGTCCCATTACAGACAAGTCCCTGGGTGTGCTTCCTGCCCCTACAAGGAGGTCAGGAAACCCCAGGATGTTATATAGTTGTTTTCCAAGAAGTATCAGGCAGAGGGTTCCAGCCTGCCATGTGCTATGTATCTGGGGAGAACTGTATGGGGATTCTGTGAGTAATGATCCAGATTAACAAGGCTGTTATCTATGTAGTTGTTACTGAAGCAGATTAGGTCTGCCTCTGTTATATTTCAACTTCTGTATAGGAACCCTAATAACTCTGTAAGAGAGAGATTTGTGGTTCATTATCATTCTATTTACACACTGCAGAATCCTTATAGTTGTCTAAATATATATATAGATCAGTGTTTTCACCTGCATAAGACTGTCAGGTGAACTTTCTGTTAATTGCAGTGTATCTTTGCAGCCTCTTTGCTTGAAGAGCCTTATTGGTCTGGATCTCTCTTTAGCTAGGATTAGCATAGGGAGTGTTGGATAAGATTAGGCTAGAGGTAGGTTAGGCATCCGACGGCCACTTAGACAGATAGAGGCCCGGTTACAGTGACAGCCCAGTTTTAGGGATAGGGACTAAGAGTAAGGATAGATAGAGCATTTTATCCTTTTAGGTGATGCATCGCTGATCTTCAGACAAGCAGTGCAATCATCCGCATGTTACTTGGACGCCATCACAGCATCTAAAGTGGAAGCGTGCATCTTATTGACTCTCGCCTCTCCAGGGGCCCCTGCAACCGGACTGCGCTATAACCCATGGTTGGAGGTATTCTGTATACTACATGCACATATACCCGGGTATAATTGCAACCTCCCAATTTATGCTAAATTGTAATTCCTGAATGTTATTCTTATGCATCCTGTTTTATGTGGCTGCTTTATATAAACTTTGCATTAATCTCATACAGGTGTGGTGACATGTTTATCATGTTAGAAATATAAGCTGGATGCATTAATACTGCTATGTATAGTTACTTTAAGTTGTCTACCTGTTACATTCCTAGAAAGGGGTGAGTCTCCTCAATTGCAGGATCCCCTATTCTATAGGTGGAGGCACTGCCATTTGTATTATCACAACCCCCTCTTCCATGTAGCGAAGGCTCAGGATTGCCTGCTCATATACAGGTTAGCGCCATAGCTTGTTTGGTGTGGGCCATTTCACATAACCCCCCCCCCCCAAAACAGGGCTACATTTGGAGGCACTGCTGAGATCGAAGTGGGTTTAATAGTCAGTCATGGAGGAGCAACACAAAGAGAAAAGTGGCGCCCTCAACCTACTCCTAGAAGGAGGTACCTTCCCTCTGTCCCACAAAACGTCAGTGTAAAAGAAGAACAAATGCCAGTTAACTATTCTTATCAGGAAGATGTCAATATTTCACAATCTAGTGAGAATGCTGTTGGCACTTTAAATCAACTGACTGAGATGCAAGCACAAGGGTTACAGGCGGCACATTATAGAAAGCTAAAAGTGTTCTCTGGTAATGTTCCTGTACCACAAGGAGAAGAAGCTTTCGAAGTTTGGAAAGAGCACACCCTTCAATGCTTGAAAGAATGGTCCTGCTCAGAGGAAGGCAAGCGTCAGCGTGTTATGGAAAGTCTGCGATCTCCAGCAGCAGAACTAATCCGCTTGTATCGAGATACCCATGAGGGGGTAAGTGCAACAGACTATATACAAGTACTGTCTGACCATTTTGAACCATACTATGACCTTGAACAGATGGTTGCTGACTATCGTATGACCCGTCAGAAAGAAGGAGAGAGTGTTTCCACTTTTATTAATCGATTGCAGTTACTGTTGTCACGTCTGGTGTATCACACTGCTATACATCCTGATGCAGTGAATTCAATGAGAACTAGTTAATTAGTACGGGGGTTGTTACCTCATCATCCTCTCGCACAGCTCCTCAAAGTGAAGTTATCTGACGATGATCTTCCTCTTCATGGACTAATGAAGTTAGTGAAGAAATTGGAAGCTGACATTCAGTTTAGCACCCCTAAGAAAGTGAAACAACCTTTTAAAGAGGACCTCCCTTCTCGTCCTGTTCAAAACTGATCAACCTGAATTCACTTGGTCCAAGTCTTCCATTAACAAGCCCGTTGCATTGCACAGAGGGAGAGACTCTAGAAAGTGCTTCAGGTGTGGTCAGACGGGCCATTCAGCTAGACAATGTCATGACGATTATGAGGGAATGGTGCAAAGTGTGTCATTCCCTGTACAAAAGCACAAAGGACGACTGAAATATTCAAAGTCAGGATCAAAACAGCCCTATCATAGGCTCCAAGTCCATTGTTAACGTTTTACTGTCAACGGACTTAAAACTTCAGCTTTGTTTGACACTGGGTCTCAAGTTACCCTTATCTATCGTTCCTTCTATCAGAAGCATTTGAGCAACACACCACTTCAATCTACTGGACAGATGAAGTTGTGGGGGTTGAACTCTAAGTCATACCCCGTTGATGGAAGCCTGCGCATAATTGTTACTGTACCTGGTTTAGAGGACAAAGGTGTTCCTCCCATGGAGATCACTGCACTTGTGTGTCCTGACACTGGGGACTCCAATGCCGCTCCTGTGATATTAGGTACTAATTGTAAAGCAGTACACTGTGCTTTTCAGAAGTTTCTTGAAGGAGGTCGAACTGCTTCTTTTGATCAAATTGAACTGTCTTCTGATCTTAAAGAATGTCCTCTCTTGTGTATCACATCGGTAATGTACTAAGGGTTGCTTCCAGCATTGGAGTGGAGATGGCAGTTACGTGATTCCCTGAAGGATGAAACAAAGGGGGTGGACTGGAGGGCCAGAGTGGACCTATCTACGGTTGTGACTGTGAGAAACTGTTCACCTTACCCCATTGTAATTGATCCTTACCAAAAGGTAGCCCATTGCTATCCTGTGTTTTGGTGTTAACCCCTATGCTGAAGTGTGCAAAGTGCAAGTTGAAGGTACCGCTCCTACTGTTGAATTTGATCTGACTGATCCAAACTTATCAGAGCTTTGGGTTCACAGATTGACACAGCAGTTATCAGGATTACCAGAAGTATTTTCTATGGGTGAAATGGATGTAGGCTGTGCCAAAAGTGCTCAACACACTTTCAGGCTAACAGATGCCACTCCCTTCCGGGAAAGGCCCAGAAGGATAGCTCCAAAGGATGTTGATGAGCTCAGACAGACCTTACGTCAGATGAAAGATCAGGGGATCATTGCAGATAGTAAAAGTCCCTATGCTTCACCTATTGTTGTGGTAAGAAAGAAGTGTGGATCTATTCGCCTATGTGTGGACTATCGAACCCTGAATCGAAGGACAATACCTGATCAGTATACACTACCCAGGATAGAAGAGGCTTTGGAAGCTCTGAATGGAAATCAGTGGTTCACAGTTCTTGATTTGCGGTCAGGGTTACTATCAGGTTCCAATGGCTCCTGAAGACCAAGAGAAAACAGCCTTCATATGTCCTTTGGGCTTCTTCTTTCAGTTTACCCGCATGCCACAAGGCATAAGGGGTGCACCAGCAACATTTCAAAGATTAATGGAACGCGTTTTGGGTGATTTAGTTCCACGAGAGTGTCTTGTGTACCTCGATGACATTATTGTATTTGGAGCTTCATTGGAGGAACATGAAGAACGTCTCATGCGAGTGTTGCATCGTCTAAAGGAGGAAGGGCTGAAGTTGTCTTCAGACAAGTGTAAGTTCTGCCGTTCATCTGTTACCTATGTAGGCCACATTGTTTCTGCTGAAGGAGTGGCCACAGATCCTGCCAAAGTTGAAGCAGTTGTGAATTGGCCATGACCTCAGAATATCACAGAGTTACGTTCATTCCTTGGATTCTGTGGTTATTACCGCAGATTTGTAGAAGGATATTCGAAAGTGGCCAAGTCCCTACATGACTTGTTGAAGACTGATTCGAGCGGTCAAGAAAAACAGAAGAAATCCACCAAAAATCCTTTTGGCGATAAGTGGACTTCAGCCTGTGAGGATGCCTTCATTCAGTTAAAGAAGAAGTTAACAGAGCACCCGTTCTGGCCTATGCTAATGCTCGAAAGCCGTATGTTCTCCATGTAGATGCTAGCTTTGAAGGACTGGGTGGAGTGTTACACCAGGAGTATCCAGCTGGGTTGCGTCCCGTCGCCTTCATCAGCCGAAGCCTCACAGTTAGCGAGCACAATTACCCAGTTCACAAGTTGGAATTCTTAGCTCTCAAATGGGCTATTGTCGATAAG